CATGATGGCTTTTCTAAAGCCTTGGCTCCCCGTATGTGAAATGGGGATGATGTCTACCTCACTGGATTGTGAGGAGTCAACATAATTAGCTAAAGCATCACACAGTGCTGAGCACATAATGAATGTCTGTGTCTTTTCCTTAAGCCCTAGTGGCGCAGTGGTAAAAGCTCTCCATTGCCAACTAAAAAGTCGCCAGTTTGAACCCACCAGCTACTCAACAGGAGAAAGATGTGAGTCTCAGAAACCCTATGAGGCAGTTCTACTCTGCCCTATAGAGTCGCCAATGAGTCAGAATCAACTTGATGGCAACTGGTATGGTTTTTGGTTTGGTTCCTTCCTTTCCTGAATTTGCAGTTCAACTTAGAAGTATAGAAAATTAGTATTTCAAGATCAGTCAGCTTCTTTTACTCTCAGCAGGGAAAGGGCTGCCAATTCCAGTGCACAGCCAGATGTGGGAAAAGTACATACAAGTGTTTATATATGTGTCAGGCACTATGTATACATAACACTTACAGTTTCAGTTCAACCTTAAAACCACCACCCTATTTAAAAGACCCACAATGCCAGGTAATGTGTCTAAATAACACTGTACCACACAGCATTTCTGTTGCACCTGAGGCTCTTAAGGTTAGTGCCATCAGATCTCTGTACAGAGAGCACCTGCAGAAATAGCCACAGAGGTCCTGTGTCCGGTGCAAGGAAGGATGAGATGATCTTGCACTGGCTACAGACTGTCACTGACAGTTTCTCTATAAAAGCCCCTGCTTTCAGATTGTTGTCAGAAGCAAGGATGCAATAGGAGTAACAAAGAAATCTGTTGTGGGGTGTGGGAAGTATATTCCTAGAATAGTCTCTTTCCAACCCCTTAAGTTTGAAAGTCTAAGCTCTGGTTCCTGGGCGTACCCAATGCCCATGCCTAAGGCACTACTGAGGTAAAGGGTAGGAAGTAAAAAACAAAACAAACAAAAAACAGTTAAATATAAAAGGAGTCCCTAGGTGTTGCTGTAACCTTGAAACAGCCTTGATTATGTTACATTAAGTGAAAGAAATTACACACAGAAAAAAAAAGGGGACTGGTGAGGGGAGGGTGGTTGTTAGGTTTAAAGGGTTATCAGAGGGAGGTCTTGTGATGGAATAGTTCTGTATCATAAATTAAGTCTACACGTGGGATAAAATGACACAGAACTATGTATATCCAATGTACCAATGTCAATTTCCTAGTCTTGATATTATGCTAATAGTTTTATAAAAAGTAACCAATGGGGAAAACTAGGTGAAGGGTGGACAAGACTTCCCTTACTGTATTTGAAATAATGTATGACTATTTCAAAATAAAAGTTAAGGAAAAAAAAAACCTGTGTAAACCATAAACTGTTGTTAGCAGCTGAGCACTCAACCACTGTACCACTAGGGAATCTTATCTTTAGGATAGATACCAAGAAATGGATGCATTTATATTTTTAACAGATATTGCAAAATTACACTTCAAAAAAAGCAGTTCTTGGGAATATCTTCTGGTAAATGTTGGGAGCTCTGGTAGTGTAGTGCCTAAGGCACTTGACTGCTAACCAGAAGGCTGGCCATTCAAACCCACCAGCCACTCCTGGGAAGGAAGATAGGGCAATCTACTTTCATAGTGATGATACTGCCTGGGAAATCCAAGGAGGGGTCACTATGAGTCAGGTCCAACTCCAGGGCACATAACAACAACAATAATGTGGGAGGAGCTAGTATCAGATTAACCCTCCTGCTGACAAAAATTTGAAACTGAACAAAATGTAAAAAAACAAACTACAGTGAAAGCTGTGAGAGCTGGACATGTAACTCATGTTTTTCCAGGTTTCACAAGTTTTCTGCTTCTGATGGGGTGCATCTTACCACTTGTCTATTAGTGGAAAATAGCAATATTAGTGGAAAAGCTCCCTGATACTCCAATCCAAAAACACCCAAACTCACTGCCATCGAGTAGGATCTGACCCACAGCAATCCCTCCTTGGGTTTCCTAGGCAGTATCATTATGGAAGTAGATTGTCTGGTCTTCCTTCCAAGGAGTGGCTGGTGGGTTTCAACCACCAGCCTTCTGGTTAGCAGTCAAATGCCTTAGGCACTAAGGCACTTATCTTAGTATCTGAAATGCACAATTCAGATAAATGGGTAGGACTTCACTAGTTTTATCTATGCCTGCCCGTATTTCTTCTTTGTTGTTGTTGTTATGTGCCCTTGAGTCGGCCCCCTGACTCATAGGGACCCCTCCTTGGGTTTCCCAGGCAGTATCACTATTTCTTCTTTGTTGTTGTTGTTACAGTATCACTATTTCTTCTTTGTCGTTGTTGTTGTTGTTATGTGCCATTGAGTCGGCCCCCTGACTCATAGCGACCCCTCCTTGGGTTTCCGAGGCAGTATCACTACGGAAGTAGGATTGCCCAACCTTCCTTCCGAGGAGTGGCTGGTGGGTTTGAACCGCCAGCCCTCTGGTTAGCAGGCAAGTGTCTTAGCCACTATGCTACCAGAGCTCCCTTACATCTAGTTTAAAAAAAAAAAAAAAAGTCCTCTACTAAGAAACTTCTAAAACTGGCAATTCCTTACTGAAATTACGAACTAAGCCACCAGAGCTCCCGATACTCCAATAGGTTAACTAAAAATACAGAGATATATAAATGGTAAAAACATTTATAATAGTTTTAAACTAAGAGTTTACTAATAGTATTAAACAACATCTGTATACTAGCTCTATCTGACATAGATTGTCCCTTTAGTAAATACGCCTTTAATGACAAAATTTAAGCTTTCCAGAACATAGGCTGTGGTTAGGATTACACGACAGTGGTAGTTTGTAGAGTTGCGTCAGAAGCTTGATCCAGATGCCAGTTTCTATAGCTACCACCTTCTCCCTAACCATCAACCCTCTCCACCCAGGAATAATCACCACCCTAGCCAGAACGAAGGGGATGTAAAATTGAGGAATTCAGATGTTGAATTTTAAATTGTTAGTTGTAAAATGTCAACTCAGTTAAATATACTACGAAATGAAAAGCAAGAGTCAGCTAGAAGATATCCCCAGCTAAAGCTTAATGAAAGTGGGAATGGCTGAAAACCACAAAATTTAAACATAAAAAATACGAAGTAAGCTTCACATATCTTTGATTACTTCTTACCTTAGTATCTGAAATGCACAATTCAGATAAATGGATAGGACTTCACTAGTTTTATCTATGCCTGCCCGTATTTCTTCTTTATATCTAGTAAAAAAAAAAAAAGTCTTCTACTAAGAAACCTCTAAAACTGGCAATTCCTTACTGATATTACGAACATAAAAACAGAAACCACAAATTTAGGAGCTAAAGGAGTCAGTCTGCTTCTATGAAATGTTTATCATATCAATTTAACTCGATGACTTCTTTTGGGACCACAATATAACCAAATACAATATTGGAATTCAGTTTCTACGCCAACAGAGGGTAAAAAATCCAGAATTTCCATCTACTGTTTCTATGAGAAAATCTTTTTGTTCCTGGTTAATGACACAAATTTCTACATAAGTCTTTATTCCTTAACAAAAAAAACAAAAAGCGAAACAAAAAACAAAACCTCGCACAAAAGAAAATCTTGAACAAAGCAGACATAATTTTTTAACTACTAGGGAAAGCCATAAAACCTAAGGTAGTTGGATCCTTCACAAACTCCAAATTTAAGAGAAATCATGTAATATTCCCATAACAACTAAAAAAATAAATAAATGTAAACGAGGAGAGAGAATAAAGTTATTTTTTAAAATTTGAATCTAATTCTAGTTTATTGGGAGTTAACTGGCAGAAACTCTCTAAAAACATGGAAACTTAAAATGTAATTTTGGACTATAACAAGAACTTTTCATCAAAGTTAAATCTCAACTGTTTTCACAATTATTTAGGATCTATAAGGTTAGATCAAGACTTTAAAAAAAAAAAAAAAAAAAAACTCACTGCCATGGAGTAGGATTCAACTCACAGCAACTCCTCCTTGGGTTTCCAAGGCAGTATCACTATAGAAGTAGACTGCCCAACCTTCCTTCCAAGGAGTGGCGGGTGGGTTTGAACCGCCAGCCTTCTAGTTAATAATCAAATGCCTTAGGCACTACGCCACTTTGGGAGCTCTTATTGTACAATTTATGATTTTATTATGAAATATCATTAATTCAAATAAATTAGCAATGTTTGGCATATAGAGTATTTTAACAACCAAAATTAATTACTTTGTGGCAATAACCTTTAAGAAAGTAAAAAATCTTTAAAAATTCAAAAGCTGTAAAAAGTGAAGCTGGATGCATTTTAATTCTAGAAAGAAACCCAATGGGGTTTAAGTTATATAATCTACATTTTTACTCATGAAACAGTATATATTTCTTTCTTTAAGGGGCTATTTTGGAGGCAGTCAACATAGAAATAATCTGGGTTTATAATTTAATGAATCAATACTATTAGCCAACAACACAGGTAACCTGCAGTATATAAGATAAATAAAATCAAAACAGAAACCATCTAAAACTTTAAAATATAAGAAATGAAGGCTTTCTCCATTTGTAAATTAATAGCTTTTGGGAGAACGGGAAGAACTAAGAAGAAATCAGAATATCCTAAAACCTACAAGGAAGGGGAAATACTACTAGATAATAGTTTTAAAAACTCACAAGTTATAATATTGTTACACAAATTTACAATTTTAACTGATTTGCAGTGTGTTTATACATGCAATATAAATTACAAATATGTATAACAACATTGTAACATCCAAAAGAACACAAAGATGTAGAAAACCTTTATGATAAATATAATTATTGCATTTAATGTCATTTTCTTGAACAAAACCCAAAATCATCACATTCCTTAATGTTGTATCAAACAAACACCATTATAAGTTAGAGAAAATGTATGCAGACACCAGTTTCTGTAACAAAAATAAGAAATTAAAGCCCTAGAGGTTGTCTGATTTACATCAGGTAATCATGGAAATAAAAGACATATTTAAAATTATTTTATTTTATCATTATGCACAATGAAGGAAAGCGTAACAGACAGCAAGATTGATTTATTTTCCACCATAAAATTATTTACACCATTTAGCTAGAAATACTAGCTTGAAGAGGTACTGGTATGTTCCATTTATAGTAATCCCTCTACAGCCACCAACTGTCTGCTTTTTGGAACTTGTGAAGAAAATATTATTTCATACGTCTTTTTTGTTTTTTAAGTCTCAAACACTAAGCGTTCAAGGTACTTTGGGAGAATCCTGGTGTCCTGGATGACCTGATGAATGCATTAAAATCAAGCAGTGTGTTTGTATTCTGAAAATACTCTTAAATCCACAAAGTGTTGCTTGGGTTGTGGAGTGCGGGTTTCTCCTAGTGGCACTATGACACTGGAAGAACAAGTAACACTGGTTATGAAAGTTTCACACCAATTTTGTTTTGTTCTTTCTTCATTAGCCGCTGTGCTTCCTTTTCCATTTTTTTTCTTTGTTGTTCTGCTGCTCTCTTTTCTCTGTCTGCTATTTTCTGCTGCCTGAAATTAAAACAACAATAACAAAAAAAAAACCTTCATATTTTTACTTATAGAAAATATTAAACCAGTGAAATAACAAATTTTAGAAAACAATAAAAATGCCTTTTTACTATCAAAAATCAAAAATACCTTGGTTCTTCCCATTGCTCTCAAAATTTCAAACTTTCAAAAATAGTATCTCTTTTAATCCTTGTAACATGACTTGCAAAAGCAGCAGCATTATCTCTGTCTGACAAGTAAGTAAAATGAGGAACAAAAACTAAGTGACCTTCCAAAGTCACAGGGTCAAGAATAAGGACAAGAACCTATGGCTCCTGACCCTTCTTCAGATTATTTCCACAGGAAGGGCTTCCATTGGACCGTACCTTCTTCTTTTATACCACTCAGGAAAGCTCAATATTGAAGATTAAGTCCACTGTCGTTATAATAGTTAAAAATAGCTAAAGGAAGTTAATACAGCTGTGCAGAACACACTGCAAAAAGAAAATGAAAACTTAACACCATCTGTCAACTAGCAGCTAGAAATCTATTTATTTAAGGATTAACACTCAACCAGCTCTAGTCATGAAGGAGCAAAAGGGTAGAGACTTACTAATCATACATTATAAAATACATACCTTCTCCTTGTTGTTGTTGTTGTTGTTGTTATGTGCCGTCGAGTCAGCCCTGACTCACAGCGACCCCTCCTTGGGTTTCCGAGGCACGGAAGTAGGATTGCCCAACCTTCCTTCCAAGGAGTGGCTGGTGGGTTTGAACCGCCAGCCTTCTGGTTAGCAGTCAAGTGCCTTAGCCACTATGCTACCAGAGCTTAGGCCCATCATAACTCCATTGGTCCAAAACCACTAAGCTATGTATCTTTATTGATTAATTTGTGGGGAGTAGGAAGGGGTGATAAAATGGGAGAAGGGAATGGGAACAGAAGCTGGTGCTAGATCGGAAGGGTTGGGGTGGAGAAAATAAGTATACCAGATTGTGGAAGAAAACTGTTAAATCACAGCTGGATACCAGATATGCAACATTAGGTTAGATGCAGAAAACTCCAGTATGGGTTACCTGTATATGAGACAGCTCAAAGCTGACTATACTGAGGAAAACGTATATACAGTTCTCAATCACACATATAAATGGGAGACTAAACAGTTATAAGGAGCTCTGGTAGCACAGTGCCTGAGGCATTTGACTGCTAACCCAAAGGTTGGTAGTTCAAACCCACTAGCCACTCTGCGGAAGGAAGGCTGGGCAATCAAGTTCCATAAAGATTTACCACTTCAGAAACCCACAGGGGTTCGCTAGGAGTTGGAATCCACTCCATGGCAGCGAGTTTGGTTTTTTTTTTGGTTTTAAACAGAGTTATAGATGACCAAAATTCAAGGAAAAAACAGATTTATTTTAGGCAACATTCTGACGTTCACTATCAATTAATTAAGTTTCTAAAGAATAGCTAAAGAAACTACTACTCACTAACTCTTTTAATTTTCAAGAAACTGAAAATTTGTACTAAAGTCAAAATCCTAGGGACAAAAAGGGAGCTATTTCCTGGCACAGAGATAATTTAGAGATGATTGCAAATGAAATATATTTTACCTGTCAGATTCATGTCTGGGATTACTAAGGTAGCAAACTCTTCTTCCTTAATGACTCTGATCACAGTACTAATGCCCAAGGGCAGTGAAAAACAGGCTCAGAGTTAGAGGATATAGAACATGGACAGATTTTTAAACTTCTCAGTGTTCTTCTGGGGCAGCAATAACACAGAAGCCTCCACTGTCCTTTGGCACTACCTAAGCAACTTGTAGCATGAAGCATGTGTACTACTGACTAATAGGCTACCTTTTCCCAATCTGTCATTATAATGCAAAACAGTAAATTAAAAAAAATAAAATGGTTTGGTTAGGGAGAAAAAGGATGAGATGGAAAAGGGAATGCTTTTGTACAGTGAATGCTAAGACACTTATGGAGTCATGACATAAACTCTGTAGTACTGTCATTAAGATTACCAAATGCAAAGTGACGACTAGCTCCTTCCTTTACCTGTGTAGTTAATGACACTAGTAATCATTAGAATCCCCAAAACATTCTAAAATATTCAGACCTCTGTATCTATGATTTATACATATATATATATAAAGAATAAAAAATTAGATGACTTATCTTTTTTTAATGATCCATGCAACATAAATGTTGCATCTTAAAATCTTTTTTTATAACCCTTCCTCTTAAAAAAGAAAAGGCATGCTGAAAACAGGAGAGTCTACAACAACAAATATAACCAAAAACAAAACAGAAAAAAAGTCACACTAAGAAAAAATTATTCCCAGTTATTTAACTGCACCCTCTACTGACTATTCAAGGTAACTATACTTAACTGACAAACTGGAAAGGAAAATACAAGAAAAATGAAATCAGTTGTTTTGTTAAAGATAGTCAGAGAAACCAAAAAAACAAGCACACTGCCATCAGAGACAATTCTAACTCACAGCGACCCAATAGAGCAGAAGAGAATTGCCCCACAGAGTTTCCAAAGCTGTCTATCTTTACAGAAGCACCTCTTTCTCCCACAGAGAGGCTGGTGGATTTGAATCACTGACCTTTTGATTAGCAGCCAAGTGCTTTAGCCACTGTACCACCAGGGCCTATCACTATTGTGAAAATCTTTTAAAAAATACTAAGTAAGTGATGACAGCTCTCTTAAGGTAAATTTTCTCTTTCCTCTTTAACCTAATATGGCAGTAGCAAGAATTAAATTTATTGATCACAAAACACAAGGATGGACCTAATCACCAATGAAAATAAACTTTCAAACCTTCAGAGCATTTTCTTTTCTGTAGAATGGGTAGTTTTTGACTTATATTATTGATTTCATAGAATTTTCATGTACAGTAACTGAGATATATGTACAAACAACTATAAAGTGAAAATACATAGGTATAACTATGTGTGAGGAGATTATTTCATTCAAATGTGTGCTAGACCACAGGCAGCAAAAACAAAGTTGCAATTTCTGACCTAGAGGAATATATAGTTGTGCCTCACATTTTAGAGGACAGGTAAGAGAGATGTGCGTTTTAAAAGGAATGAGGTATAAAGCATATATTGTAAAAGGTCTCATTTGCTAGGAATAAAATTACTGTTCTTTTATTCATAAATTCTTGGTTTCTGGGAATGAGGTTTTAATTGTATAAGAAAAGTGCATGTAGTCTGAAATACAACAAAGTGTCCCATATTATCTTAAGGTTCAAATGAAGCAAAGCTTCACACTGGCAGAGCAGGTGCTCTTAATTTTAAACACTACAGGGAATAAATCTAGTTTTGCTCAGTTGCAATGTAAATATCTGTGAAATACCTCAAAACTTCTTCAGCTTGCCAGGCCGCATCTTCTTCTTCTTCCCATGCATTGGTATTCTCCTGCCAGGTATCTAAGTCACCTAATTCAGGCTACAACAAAAAACAAAACAAAATAATGATAGTAAAGAGCCATCTTTTCTCCAAAGAGCAGACAAGAAGGGTATGCTTTAAACTGTAACTCAGAATCTGTCACTGGCTGTATACCCTGTGGCTTCTCAATTTCCTTACTGTGTCCTATACAAAGTCCAAATGATTTGGGCCCTGATTTCACCTGGGACTAGAGAGTGTCCCAAGATGCAGGACTGTCAGTGCTAACACTAGAATACAACAGTCCTGGGAAAGTGTAGCTTTCCTCCTATGTTATGTTTCAAGGAGTATTCCTTTTAAATTTTCTTGTTTTGCTTTAGTATGGACAGACAAGAACAGAACACCTCTTCTGTTTCTCTCTTTTTAGTAAAGAGGGGGAGGAGAGCGTGAAGGGACCAAATGACTGATCCAGAGTCAATTAGAGATGTCTGACTGATCTGTGCTGAGGGATGAGCTGGAAGTAACCAGAGTTTCGAAACCAGCAAAGTCATCTTCACTTACACAGAGGTAACTTACAGGAGTGATGTTCAGTGGTACCTACTATTTGGGTCCTAGGCAAAAATGACAGATCAGGAAGATGCTATCTTTATTGGAATACTCTTCTTCTATATCCTGCTTCCTTTTTCCTGTCCTACTCATTTGACACCAGTAGGTTTCTACTACTTTCCACTTTTCCCCAGGCCAGATCTAGAAAACTTCACTTTTATCTTCCATGAACCAATAAAAATGCTCATTCTGGGGTGTTCCGTTAGGTATGGAAGTGATTATGGGTGTAAAATAACCAGCACTAGTTGATATCAATAAATAGGTTTATTTGTATTCTCTTTTCATTTTTATACCTAAAAATGAAAATGAAACATTTTTTGAGTTTTCTCCCCTGATCATAAATTTAATACCATCTTCTGCTTAAAAAAATACTCTTAAAAGTAAATATTCCTGCTTATCTATTTAATATAAATATGTAAAAGTAGAAGAGCTACATTGGAGAAAATGGTGATTTTTAAAGCTACTGAAACAAAGTACAAATGACCTTCCTGAAAAGCTGTACTATCTTAAACTCCTGATAGCAGCAAGAATTTTTATTTATTTACACATTTGTCAATACTGGTACCAGTTTTCTGTTTTATCTTTGCTAATTTGGGAAGACTTAAAAAATGGTGTCCTGTTATTTTAATTTGAAATTCTTTGAGAACTGCAAGATCAAACTTTTTTTCATGTTACTAGGTTACATCTATTTCTTATTTGCAAATTTTTTAGTCATAATATTTATCTATTTTTCCAGTGCTTGTCTTTTAGTATCAAAAAGAAGAACTATTAAGACCATTAAAAAACAGTATCTGATCTCTTAGTAGAAACGGCCTTCCAAGTAAAAAAGAAAAAAATTGTAAAGGATGAGACTGATAGATCTGTCTACATAAAAACTAAATACATGTGCCCATCAAAAAGCATCCAAACTATAAAGCCAATTAATAAACTGAAAATCAAGTTTGTAAGAAATGACAGAAAAACTTTAACACAAAAAACCAAACTCACTGCCATCAAGGCAATTTCAACTCATAGCAACCCCTTTTGGGTTTCCGAGGAGGTAAATCTTTATGGAAGTAGACTGCCCAGTCTTCCTTTTGCAGAATCCCAGGCTTACTATGTTGTTGTTGTTGTTTGCCATCGAGTCAGACCCGACTCACAGCGATCCCTCCTTGGGTTTCCGAGGCGGTATTACTACAGAAGTAGATTGTCCAACTTGCCTTCCGAGGAGTGGCTGGTGGGTTTGAACCGCCAGCTTTCTGGTTAGCAGTCAAGTGCCTTACTATAGAGCTACACTAATCAGAAGTGTGGTACTGGCAAGAGAATAGACAAACAGATAAACAGACGAGAACAAAAAACCCAGAAATAGACCCACGCAAATAAAGTCAACTTATCTATGATAAAGGCATAAACACAATCCATTAGGCAAAGGATAGCCTTTCCAACAAACAGTACTGGAACAACTAGATATCCACATGCAGAAGTTTAATTTTACAAATATTAACTCAAAAGTGGATCATAGACGTAAATGTAATAGGAAAATCTATAAAACTTGTAGAAGATAACACAGGGTTTGGGTAACATTGGTTTGGAAACTGGGTTTTAAATACAATACCAAAAGCCTGATCCATGAAAGAACATATTGATAAGCTGGACTTCATTAAGATTAAAATCTTCTGTTCTGTGAATGACATTGTTAAGAGAATGAAAAGACAAGCCATAGACTGGAAAAAAATATGTACAAAACAATATCTAATAAAGGACTTATATCCACAACATAAAAAGAACTCCTAATACTCAACAAAAATAACACAAACAACCCAATTACAAAATGGGCACTACTTTACCAAAGAAGATACACACAAGGGCAAATTATCATATGAAATGATGCTCATCTATCATGAGAGAAATGCAAATTAAAACAATTAGTTAACACTACATTCCTATTAGAATGACTAACATTCAAAACCCTGACACCAAATGCTAGTGAAAATGTAGAGCAACAAGAACTCGCATCCACCCCTGGCAGGAATGCAAAACTGTGCAGCCACTTTGGAAGACAGCCTGGCAGTTTCTTACAAGGCTAAGCTCAGGCTTATTGTATAATCCAGCAATCATGCTCCTAAGTATTTAGCCAAATGAGCTGAAAGGTTCCATCACACGAAAACCTGTACACAAATGTTTACAGCAGTTTATTCCTAATTGCCAAAAACTAGAAACAACCAATATGTCTTTCAATAGGTGAATGGATAGACAAACAGATTTATGCATATAACCAAAATCAAACTCACTCTCGTCAAGTCAGATCCAACTCATTGTGACCCCTTGTTGGGTTTCTCAGGCAGTATCACTATGGAAGTAGATTGCCCCAGCTTCCTTCTAAGGAGTGGCTGGTGGTTTTGAACCGCCAGCCTTCTGGTTAGCAGTCAAGTGCCTTAGGCACTACGCCACCACATAATAGAATATTATTCAGGAGTAAAAAGAAAAGAGATACCACACTAGAAAAAGATATGGCAAAAGTTTAAATACATATTGCTAGATGACAGAGGCCAGTACAAAAAGACTACATACTGTATGATTCCAACTACACCCACTTCTCACTTAAGCAACACGGTTAAGTTCCAAAGACCAGGTTGTTATACAAAAATTGGCATTCGGTGAAAATGGAGGAATACCTTATCAGATCACAAAATGAAGAATGACTGCATTATTACATATTACATATTATATCATTACAATTACATGTAATTATATCATTACATAACTGCCAAATTACATCATTACATATCTGCCAAACCACTAAGAATCATGGCCCAGCTAGTGGTACTCTTACCTCACACCTCAGTGTTCACGATGTCCAGGCATTATTTCATTAATGAATAAGGAAGTCTGCTTTTTTACTATTGTTGTAAATGTGAAATATTGGATAATGAGATAATTGATAATTGAGGAATGAGCAGGTGTATGTCATTTTGAAAAAGGCAAAACTGCAGAGAGAGTGAAAAGATCAGTCGTTGCCAAGGCTTAAGGGTGAAGGGAGTATTTTGGCAGAGCACAGGACATATAGGTAAAGCACGTGGGATTTTTAAAACATCGTGAAACTGCATAGCAGTTATCAACATCTGTAATTACCTATTTATGTGTGTAAGCATTTATTTAATAGTATGTCACTCTAATAGAATGTATCTGCAGCACAGTGAATTGCTCAGTATGGTCCTTCTAGCCACTGTCCTCCACTTTGTGATGTATTCTAAACCTTAGTATCTATGCCTGTGTAGTATTCTAAACCCTAGTATCTATGCCTGTGTAGATGCATCTTGAGTCCTGCCTTCCTGGAGGGCGTGACCCAACTCACCAACCATCTTGCAATATACTGTAAATCCTATTCTCTATGCCTGTTTAGGGTGGAATGTATCCTGAGTTCCACATTGCTGGAGGTATGACTCAAGAAACCACCCTTGGCTTCCTTGAAAGTATATATATGAATGTTCTGGGAGAGTCACTCTCTTGCTCCAGTTCTGTGTTTGGTTTGTCATCATCTCACACTGGACTTGACCTGGGACTTGCTAGCCTGCCAGCCTGTCAGCCTCCACCACAACCACATGAGCCATTTCTCTGGAAGTTTGTGAGTTCTGTGAGACGTTTCAGCCAACTATGGAATCCTAAGACAGGAGGGAGATTACTGAGGGGAGAAAGAGGAGTTGAAGTCAGAGATGATGGAATGGCACAGCAGTTTGGAAAAGTTAGACATTTGGGAGATCTGTAACCTTTGTGTCATAGGGACCAGCCTTGTGCTGATCTTTCTAAAATAAATTATTCAAGCAGCATCCTTCTAAGGCCGGGGCACTGTCATCACTGTATTACTAGTACTTAGCACAGGGCCTACCATTAGCAGAAAAAATGTTAATCAAGGTATTAAAAACATACATGATACCAAATGTGAGTGACCAATATGGCAGCATTGAGGATGAGAAAGACATAGAGAGTTACATGGGCAGTACAGACAACAAATATGAACCCCTTTGCATATACAGTACTGAGTTGTCAGTGAAAGCAAACATGGGTATAGGGACGGATAGATGGGTGAACAAGCTAAACAATTAGGTATGTCTAAATGGAGAGTGTATCCAAGATCATATATAGGGTTGGCAGACAATGGGCCTATAAGTTCATGTGAATGATCAGAATTCCCAGGTGTATAGTAGAGCTGACAAGGGGCAAGGTTATGGTCATTACTTGGTCACAGCCAGCTACCCAGAGGGACCGAGCAGTTGATCCTGCGGGCTTGGGACCATAGTCGCAGGGGACATCAAGCTCAATTGGCATAACATACTATACAAAACATTGTTCCACCTACTACTTTGGCGAGTAGCGACTGGGACCTTAAAAGCTAGGAAGCTGCCATCTAGATGCAACAACGGGTCTCTCCTTGTCAAGAAGAAAGAAGAAAACCAAAATTAAGGGAAACAATCAGTCCTAGCGACTGGTACACCATCCAATCTGCAACCTATACAACTATGAGACCAGAAGAACTAGATGGTGCCCAGCTACCACTGCCATCCACTTGGAAGGGATGTAGGAGATCCTGCATAAAGAAGGAGAACAATGTGGTACAAAACTCAAAATCATTTGGAGGCAAAAAAAAAAAAAAAAGAAGGTGGGGACCAGGTTTGCTGGTCCAATAGAGCCTGGTGTAACCACTGAGACTATGGCCCCTAGCTGCCCTTCAGGTCTGGAATTGAACCCACAACTGGGGTTTCCAGCCAAACAAAGTACAGGCATGTGAGTTAAACATTTACCTCAAGTAGACACATGCCCTGGAGAGAACAATCATGGGAGAAGGAAGGGCTGCTTATGCACAGGGAGATAGCTCAGGGTGCAGAAGAGTATGAAGGGATGGACACTGGGAGGAGGTAACTATGGGGAGGAAGTGGGAGGGGAGCTGCTGCATTGTAAATTTTGGTCAATGACATGAGACAAAGTATATGTGAACTGCTGTATGACAAGTGAATTTACTCTGTAAATCTTCACCCAAATCCTAATTAAAAAAACCATACATGAATGTAAGTCCCAAGGGGGAAAGTGTTCTCAGAAGCACCTATATAGTTTACACAAACAAATAAGATAAAAAAGATAGATGTGGTGGTTTAAAATATGTCCACACACTTTCTCTCAGATCACTTGCTTAGCAGAAGCCGGTTGTTAAGTTGTGAGGAAACTCAAGCAGCTCTATAGAGAGGGCCACAGCAAGGAATTGAGGTTTGAAGCAAACAATCAGCATTCATCTGCCAGCCTTGTGAGTCACCTATGAAGGGAGTCCACTAGTGCTAGTCAAACCTTCAGATGACTACAGAGCCAGTCAATTGCTTGTCTGTAACAAGCAAGCCTACAACAAATTCCAGAGCTATAAACACCCAGTTGTCACCCTTGAATTCCTGATCCACAAAAACTGTGTGTGATAGTGTTTATTGTCATCTTATGCAACTAAATTGAAGATTATTACACAATAGACAACTAATACAATCAATCACTCAAAGCATGCGTAAGCACTAAAAAAAAAAACAAAACAAAACTCACTGCTGTCTAGTTGATTCCACTCAGAGCAACCCTCCTTGGGTTTCCAAGGCAGTATCTCTACAGAAGTAGACTGCCCAATCTTCCATCTGAGGAGGAGCTGGTGGGTTTGAACCGGCAGCCTTCTGGTTAGCAGTCAAATGTCTTAGGCAGTATCAGAGCTCCAGTATCCCATCAGAGACTCAGGTGGGTTCTAAACATTTATGTGTTCAAAAATCTCCAAACCTCTCTCTGATATGCCGTGATAACCACAGTTACCTACTTTGCCCACCCTTATCCTTAAAAAGTTGCATATAAGTCGAACCCATTTTAAGTCAAACCATATTTTAAAGGTAAATAGACTTAGCAGAGAAACAATCCATAACTCACTTAAAAATAACCTGTTATTAAAGATTATCTCCCATTTTAGTGATGTTTTTTTAAAATTCAGATTTTAAAATAACATTTTGTCTCTTATCGTTTATGTGGCTCATTGGGATTCTGGTATTAGATTTGGAATAATATATAATCTCAATAAAAAAAAAACATTGTTTATCTCTATCAAACTACCATGTATACCTATTTCAAGGTCACAGAAATACAAACAGTATGTTCAATTCATTTTGATCCCTCCACCCACTCTTTCTTCAAATAAAAACAAGAAAACAAATCTGTCCCTAAACACCATGAACATACTTACAGACTGATGGATGAAAGGCATATCTTGTGTAGCTGCTAATCTACTAGAGAAACCTGTGCTACCATCAGAGATGCCAAAATTTAGTGGTTCTCTCTTCTTAATAACAATCTGAAAAATTGAGACAATTACAGGGTTATTTTAGACATCCCTATATAAAAATACGTAAGCAACTGATCAGAACATTTTCTATGCTGATAATTTCACTTTTTTTGATCAGTATTTATCTTCACTGCTCCTCTCTTTCTTCAGACCTCCAGCACATAATTAGACACTTCTAGTGACTACATTAAATAAGACCACAGGTCACATCCTGCCAAGAGCATAGCTAGCTCCCTAAGCAAGTAGGAAGTCTATGAATGCCTTGATTCTTTCAGACCCACGATAACAGAATACACTTGTTTGATGTATTCTAGTTAAAAATATTTTCATACAAATTACTTTAAAAAATTACTATTGTAATTAATTAGTTTCTACTGAGACCAGCAATACTTCCACCAAACACCATTTAAAGGCTCCCTGAAATATGCAACTTGATGCTTTTCAGCACTGAGATACATGGATAACTAAAAAATACAATTATGATTACAGAATGTGAATGGTACTAAAACCATGACAATGTACAAGTAAATTCATAGCTAAAATTGTCTGGGAAGTGGACAAGGGGGAAGAACTATTATTAGAAAGTGTATAATAAATAATATCCTCACTTCATAAAATACATATAAAAATATTTTCTATGTTTGTCTGACAAGAAATGGACCTTTTAAGTGTTTATGTGGTTTTGCTTCTTTTTTCAAATGGCAGAATAACTGGCCAGGCAGAATGGAATAGTAACGTAATATGTGAAGGAGTGACAAGAGGGGAAAGGTAATACGAAACGAATCCTCATTATCCACAGTCTGAAGTCAGTGAACAATGACTGATTGGTAAATCAAGAAAGAGCCATGTAAGCGTAGTATAGATAGGTGTGATGTCAAGCACTTAACAGATAAAACTATGCGGGACTACTTCTGGAAAGTAGAGCTGGCTATGAAGAGACAGAGGGTAGAAATCTGTTGCTTTTTATTATAAGCCCTTCTACAGTCTTTGATTTAAAAAATGTACACGTATTATTTTTGATAAAAAAGGAAACTATCCAACCATTGTGCTTTTCCCAGTACTTTCTTGCACCTCTAAGTGTTCATCCATATTCAACTCCAAAGAGATTAAATAAAGAAAGGATGACTAACACAAACTCATAATAGTAAGTTCTCAGAGCCCTGCATCAGTTTTTCAATGGTTACAAACCATGGAAACTACTTGTCAGTTGTAGACTTTATTAAACTGTGAACTCTTTTAACTGTGAGCTCATTCAGCTTAGTTTCCACAGCAGAGAATGGAGTCTATAATCTGACATAAAATATAGGATTTCGATAAATGCTTAGATATAATTTTACAAAACAATTTACTACACCTATGGCTGGCCATTTGAATGTATATGTGTAATTCTTTAACATAACAGGAAAAAGAAAAGTAATAAATACTTTCAAATAAATACTAATTACACTGTCTAATTTTAACTCTAAAAATATGAAGTAGCTAACTGTGCAAAAGCATAAATCTTTAACATACTTTCTGAGTTTTCCTTATATTTGGTGTCATGTCTTTAAAATAGTCAGGTTCCAGTTGTTCCAAAGCATTCTGTTGTGTTGACACATTTCCATTCCCTCCTTCAATCTTTACACTTGTGGGTACATCTTCATCCCAAGAAGTCCACTCTTCAACATCTGTCTAAATTCAATTGATCAGCATTGTCAGCCACAGAACAGTAAGTCAATTAATATCTCATTAATAATTTATTAGCAATATTGGTTTTTTAAAAGAGATTTTCTAACTTTTTTGAACCACAGTAAAATATACATTTTTATATCACATATAAAAATTAGATAAAAAGTTAAAAAAACTTTTACTATGATGCAGACATTGTAACATATTCCATTCCATTTTGTTCTATTCTGTACACTAAAAACAAAACAAAAGCAAATGTTTCACAAACTGAACTGACATTAGAACTACAGTTCACAGAAGATGGACTAGAATTTGCGACCTAATCCTAACTATGGTGACTGCCCGTTAAGACAAACAAACAAAATAATATTCTCCATATAATTTAAATAGGATAAAGAATATCAAAACACAATATTCAAAATGTTCATATTACAAATCCAAAATTATTTGGCATTCAGAGAACACCAAAAATATCTCAACTCACATGGAAAAAGGCAATCAATAGATGTCAATCCCAAGATAACATAAACACTGTAATTATGTGGCAAAGATCTTAAAATAGCTATTATAAAATGTTCCAACAAGCAAGACCAAACACTCTAGAAACCAATGGGAACAAATGAAAATCTCAGCCAAAACATGAAAGATAAAAGGAAAAAACATGGAAATTTTAGAGAAGAAAAATGTAACAACAAGACAAATTTTGACACTGACCACCAAATTAATTTTGTGATGTACAAATGGACTGCAATTCAGTTTGAAAAACAGTGTCCTGAAACACTTATTCGCAATCTAAAAAACTTACCTGCTTAGGAACTGATGAATAATCAACTGTAGTTGGCAAAGTTATTTGGTCACCACTTAATTTCCGCCCTCTGCCAGATCTAAAACCAAAATAAAATAATTTATTTCAGGTACTTTCAAAACAACCATGGGGAAAAACACCATAGACAGTAGGAAGATATTTCTTAATTTTAAATTCTTTTAACAATGAACAGTTGCTCATTAAGATATGATAAAAAAACACGAATCAGAGATCTTACAAATGTTAACATCTTGATCAGGAAAACACTGCTGCTTTTTGCCTTAGGACTCAAGAACTGTAAACAAGCTCAATATAAAAAAAGAGAACAAAATGTACAGAGTAGTTTCAAATTCAGCCCCCTGGGGTACCGTAGGTGCTGGACCTGAAGCTCTGGGACATTTTCATCTGGTGTGCATATTGTGTTTCTGTGTAAGACAGATTAACTATTTAAAAGTTTAAAAATCACTAGATTGAACTAAACTGTGACAAGTAAATTTTAAGGATTAGTAGCAAAAGTCCTATATTAAAAAAGATCTGTATTGTAACACAGTGGTTAGGAGCACTGGCTGTGGAAACTGTGTATATCATAGTTTTCAATTTGACCTCTACTTATCGTTGAGTCTAGTTAGAATTACCTCTTAGTGTCAGTATCCTCATCCATAAAATGTAGACATTAATCTACATTTGTAAGGTTGCTGTGAAAATTTAAGTGACATATTTAAAGCACCTAAGCTAAGATGGTGCAGTGCCTAAGGCATCTGACTGCTAATCAGAAAGCTGGCAGTTCAAGCCCACCAGCTACTCTGCAGAAGGAAGATTTATCAACTTGGGGTTGATTTATCAACTAGGGGTTGCTATAAGTCAGAATAAACTCCATTAAAGTGGTGTTTTGGCACTCAACAAGATACTCAAAAAATGGTAGCTATTATAGTGACTGCCTTACTTTTACGCAAACAACATGTGTGGTATACATTTTTTACAGTCCACACAACCCTCATGCATGATTTTCTTAAGTGTGCTATATCAATGTTTTATGTTGCCAACTTCAATTTCAATTTTTTTTTCCTGTCCATTAAATTTAATGTTACCCAAATAAAACTGATCTCATGGAACCTTTATTTAAGGTAGGTATTTACTTAAACCAAGTACAACCAATGGTGAACTGAATGGGCTTATGATAGAACTAGGATACCATGTTGAAACAAAAAAAAAAAAACCCAAACCCACGGCCATCAAGTCAATTTTGACTCACAGTGACCCCTTCAGGTTTCCAAGGCTGTAAATATTAGAGAAGTAGATTGCCTCATCTACCTTCCATAGAGTGGCTAGTGGGTTTGAACCTCTTATCTTTTGGTTAGCAGCCCAATGCCTTAACCACAGTGCCATCAGAGCTCCATTATGTTGAAATCAGAGAGTATAAATGCATGAAGAGCTAGAAATTGTTGTTGTTGTTGTTGTTTGCTGTTGAGTCGGCCCCAACTCATAGCGACCCCTCCTTGGGTTTCCGAGGCAGTATCACTACGGAAGTAGGACTGCCCAACCTTCCTTCCAAAGCTAGAAATTAGTAAGTAAAAAATTATTCCAGGCCTAAACTATAAGAACAAGATTTTTATATTTTATTGCTTTCATAAATTTTAAATAGAAACAAAATTTTTGATAACCAACATCTTTGAAATCAACAAAAAGTCACCAGAAAAAAACTGTTTTCATCTAAAAATGGGCCATTTTAGTTTTTTGTTATCATTATCATCATTATCCAACTCCAGGAACTCTCAGAGTCCGATCCCCCGTCACATCATCACTCAATTATCTCACAGCTGCCGACAGACTCTCTTCTGTGACTTGTGGTGTGATCATCACTGCCTTTGACCTCTTCAGCTTCACCATAGTATTCTACTGGTACATAATCCCATCCTTTCTGAAACTGTTGCAGATGGTTTCTGGGATTATTTCTGCACAAGCAGAAGCCACCCACTTACAGACTTCTGTAAACATCACTTGCTTCAGTTATCCTGATGGTGTAACCTCATGAACCCCAGACTGCATCCACTCATCCCAGTCTCTTCTCACGGAAGTCCTGAACAGGTGGTTGACTGCTGTATCAAGCAGCTGCAGGGTGGAGGTGTGGGCACCAAGTATGACTGCTATATGGGCACCAGTTAATGTAATTTGGAACATTTTTCTTTGTGAGCAGCCATGGAGTCGAAATTTAGTAAAGACTTTTTCAAAAAGACTCCTTTGTCTGGCCCTACAACATTCATCTACCCAAACTTTCATAGTATCACAGTCAATCCATCCCTTATTATAATGAACTATCACATAGGTGGGCAGTATACAGCAGGACATGGTAAATCAATTACAAATGAACACTGGCTGTAATTTCACCCCCCTGGCAGTGCAACCAAGAACTACAATGAAGCAAGTGCTCTTGTGCCCATTGATTGTAATGGCTACAGTTTTCTTACCTGAATCAGCAACAGTCCTGGTGGCTGAAATGTCAAAAGACATCAGAACCTCATCCATATTAACTACATCCACTGCAGATCTATAGAGCTCAGAGATTTCTTTGGCGAAGTATTCATGGAAGGTGACCATTTTTCGCTCCTAGTCATCTGAAGGTGCTAGCCTACAGCAATTCTCATTGAGATGGAAAGACCTTTCCTTTTCATGAATTCAGAAACCAGATGAAATATGCCTTGAAATCTGGAATTCCTCTTCCATTTGCCAGAAGCTCTGCTTTGATCTGAATTGTGATAGTAGAGACAGCTTGATTTTGTTTGGATGGAGAAAAAATCCACTCTTTCAAGTTGTTCTCTAACTCAGGCCATTTCTCTTTGGGCTCACGATGTGCACGTTTCCTCAGATTCATTTTTTCAGTTTTTTTCTTTCTTCGTTCATGAATGGAGAACACTCAAACCTCAGGCTTTCTCATGGCCACTGTTATTTGTTTCTTCCATCCTTGCAACAACTTTCAGTTTGAAGTTGGCAGTAGGATTTGCATTTAATTCCTGATATGATCCTAAAGGGTTTTAAGATTTAGATTTATAAACTGAAAAAAAGTACACAATATAATTGGTAACTGGCTAGTTCTAGGAGAGATCTCAAAATCTGAATGTGAGGTGTATAAGCAGCAAGGGTCTTTTTATATGCTAACAAGCATATGACTACAGTGAGTCATGATCATTGATCAAGGACACTGGTGCCAGTAAGATGTAATTAGTTCATAAAATAAGCAGAACTAACATAGCTAATAGTTTCACTTAAGAGATCTGGTGAGGGTTTTGCATTCATCTGCTGAGCCAAAAGCAATCATGTATCAGTTTTGCTTTGTTTATTCCTCCAATTAAAAGCCAGAGTTGGAAGACGACTGGGATAATTATGTAAATGCAGACTGAACTGATTCCTATATTAATAGCTTTTGATGCCATTTATGCCAGTGCAGGCCTCACTCCGTTTATGCTTCCGATCAACAGCATGTGATTTATGGACAGGCTTCAGCTGGTTCAACATTCTGTCTCAAAAGTGATGGGAATATGATCATCAATTTAAATTAATAAAAACAAACACAGTTTCCACTGTTTATTTTTTGATTACTAGGATATTACCAAACTCGATCCATGACTTCTTGACTGGGCCTTATACCTTTGTTATACACATAAGATAAAAAGTAGTATTTTCAGACTATTAAATGAGGGTGAATGAGGCCAAAATTCACTTATGGAAATGTCTTAACACATGAGCGGCAGATGCACGGGCATGCTATGCCAAAACTTTTTTACATCATTTTGTCATCTCTGCGCATTCTATCTGTGTGCATGTTTTTATGTGTATACAGTATTTGCAAAAAATATGGTATCCATTTGTTGCACTTCAAATAATCTATAATGAATCCACTTAAGAGTTAATTAGTAAAGTTAGCTATTTTCACTAGAAGATTAGAAATCAAAATTTCTTTAAAGGATAAACAGAAAAGTAATATAATCTACTCTTAAATTTATAACATAAGTCTGGTACTTTAGATATTTTTTCTGACATCTAAGAGAAGCTTATCTTAACAAATGGTTGTTTTTGTTGTTGTTGTTATGTGCCGTCGAGTCGGCCCCGACTCATAGCGACCCCTCCTTGGGTTTCCGAGGCAGTATCACTACGGAAGTAGGATTGCCCAACCTTCCTTCCGAGGAGTGGCTGGTGGGTTTGAACCGCCAGCCGTCTGGTTAGCAGGCAAGTGTCTTAGCCACTATGCTACCAGAGCTCATTTAGGTTCCTTTAAAACTGAATGTATAATCATACTGAATATATTTACACTGACAATAGACATTTATAGTGACAACAAACAAAAACTGCTTTAATATTTTTTTTTAATGAAATGTAATTTTTTACTCTAATAGTAATCTAGGAGCTCTGGTAGCATAGTGCCTAAGGCACTTGACTGCTAACCAGAAGGCTGGCGGTTCAAACCCACCAGCCACTCCTTGGAAGGAAGGTTGGGCCATCTACTTCTGTAGTGATACTGCCTTGGCAACCCAAGGCGGGGTCGCTATGAGTTGGGTCCGACTTGAGGGCACATAACAACAACAACAACAACAAAAGTAATCTATATTAATTGTAACAAATACCAGAAAATAAAGTTATACAAAGAAAAAAAAAACCACCTAAAATTCATCATTATTCTTTAACACAATTGCTTTTTAACTCCCTGCCATCTGGAATACCATTCTTATCCTGTTTATAGTGAATTTCTGGCTATTCTTTCTCAGTCTCTGTTGATTTGTGTACTTAGTTCACTGTTTTTTCTACACTCCAAATCCTGTATTCCTCCTGAGTGACTTCAACAGTCAACCACCTAAACTTTCCCTCTCTTACTTGATCTTGCCACCTCCACTATCATCTGCACTATATCTCATCCACTCATTCTCACTGTTACACTCTAGACCTTTTTCTTTTAAATCCCAGAACACTGTACTTCTAATAATAAATTCAATGCTACTTAATCTTCAAAGTTTTAGCAGCCATCAAATAGCCACCTATCTAGAGATTGTTTCCCAGCTTCCTTTAGAGCTAGGTGGCTATATAACTATGGCTCCAGACAAGAGGTTATAAACAGAATTATTGTGTGCAACTTCTAAAATCACGTCCACTAAAGAGAACTGATTGTGCTCCATTTCCTCTTTCACTCTACTCTAGTATGTCAATAATTTCTTCACAGCACCAATAGGCAAAAAAAAATACCTAAAAGTTCCATTGATTAAGTAGTCAGGTTTAAACAACTTAATAGTTATTTGTGTCCTAACCACTTAGCAGACATTTGAAAAACTAATATACATAAATTGAAAGAAAAGGTAAATCTTTATTTCATTCTTAAATAAACACAATTTCTCATTATTGGAACACGTGGGCCTGTTAGGCATGGCACAAATTCTCAAACCTTGGTATCAGATTAGACACTGCCAGCCTCATTTGTTTCTTTTTTTTTTTTTTTTGGTGACCTTGTAAGACAGAGTAGAACTGCTCTACAGGGTGGTTTTTTTGTTTTGTTTTGTTTTTAATTTTTATTGTGATTTGGGTGAATGTTTACAGAGCACATTCATTTTCCATATAGTAACTCACATACACTGTCTCATTACTTTGACTGCAGTCTCCCACACTGCAACAGCTCTTTCCATTTCCTCCCTATGTGTCCTTCCCTCCCATGCACTCCTGCCCCCTGAGCTGTCTCCCTGTGCACACACGGCCCTTCTATTCTTCCATGACTGATCTCTCCAAGGAGCGTATCTACCTAATGTAAATGTTCAGCTCGTCTGCCTGTCTTCTGTTTGGCTGGAAACCACAGAAGTGGGTTCAATTTCAGACCTGAAGGACGGCTAGAGTCTATAGTCACCAGGCTCTATCAGAATGGCAAACCTGGTCCCGTTTTGTTTTATGAATGGACATTACCAGCCTCACTTCTTGTTCCACATTTATTTTGGCACAGTACTTGTTTTAAATTACAGAAATTGCTGGAACACCTAGCTTTGCAAAGATAGGTCACCAAAAGTATGGGTAAACAAAAGCTTAAGCATTCATGAACATCATCATCATGCAGGAATCCTGCACAATCTACTCTTGTAAGTATGAACTATCTTCAGCTAGTACTTTGTACAGTGACCAAACGATGCTGACTCTCTGTTTTGCTGGAAATTTAAAAATAGCCGGTAGCACGTCTATGAGTCTGCTGCATCTCAGCACACAGTTTAGGAACTACAGCACTAAGGTATGGCAGTATTACAAGATAAAAGGAATATGAGTCTTTGGGTGCCCTACTGAAGCAAAGTAATTCATTAGACTACATGCACACTCAAGAATGCTATTTAAAAGACACAAAACATCTATTTGGTTTGGACTTCTCTGTTAAAGTCTTATTTTAAAAAATACAAAAATAGTATTCAACTAGTAGCATGTAAGGAAACATATATGCCTAATTCCAACTAACCACCTTAAAATTTTCTGATAACAATTATGTACATAAAAGCCCTGTGATGATTATATGTAATTCTACAGTGCTAAGAATGAGAGATGTAAGAATTTCAAACAGTAAAAATAATCAAACCTATACTTTCCAAGTTTGTCTACAGAAAAAAATATGAAAGAATAGTAGGAATTAATGTTAATATGGACTGCAATCAAGATACTTAGCTTAAATATAATATACTCTATCCTGCCCTTTTGTACTTTTAAAGGAATCCAAAACAGGAGGAAATAAACAGATCATTGTGAACATAAAATGTGATTACCTGCATATTAATCTCTTTAGAAATGAGAATACTGTTGCTAGGCAGGTGCAAACTTTAAACAACCGGAATTGTGTGATGGCCATGGTGAGAATCAAAACCTGGGGAGAAAGCCACAAAAGTAAATGTATTAAGTTGCTTTCATAAGCTGTACTCCTGTTCTAAAGGTTGAAGTTGAAAACTTCAATTATGTACTGAGAAAAGCCGAGTGATACATTTTTAACTTCCCTCCAGAAACTACAAATAACATGGTAAATTTAAAATTAAATATAAATCATATTAACAATTTGAGAAACTGGATTTTAAAAGGTTTCAAGAGTTGAAAGGAAAAATAAACTCTTCCAAAATATTATCAAAGTGTGTAATTTTAAAAGATAATTTATTTAAATTACTTATTTAATACAAAATTTATGGTTAAAATAAAAATATTTTTACTAGTATAATGCGTCTTTTAAAGAAGGGGAAGTAGTTAAAAACCTTCCAGGCCCAGATGGCTTTGCTGATGAATAGTATCAAAATAATATCCATTATATACAAACTATCAGAAAACTGAAGAGGAGAGACTATTTCGCAACTCATTCTTGGAAGCCAACATTATAATGATAATACCAGACAAAGACATTAGCAGAAAACAAAACAATTATCTCACAAACATTGATTTAAAAAAATACCATAATAAAACATTGGCAAATCGAATTCAAAACCCAAACCAAACCTATTGCCATCAAGTCAATTCCAACTCAGAGCAACCCTTACTGGATTTCTAAGGTGGTAAATCTTTACAGAAGTAGATTGCCCTGTCTTCCTTCTGCGGAGTGGCTGGTAGATTTGAACCATCAACCTTCTGGTTAGCAGTCAAATGCCTTAGGCTTTATACCACCAGAGCTCCTTAAACTGAACCCACCATATATAAAAAGGATACAGTATTTTTATGCAAATAACTGGCACCTTCTACAAGTTTGTTTGTCAAATGCTCCCCACCAAAGTATTTTTGTAAATGTGCTATGCTAATTATTTGTCATAATGGATGCTTATAAAAATACTTCCCAGGGAGAGGAAGCAGCAGTTGACAAATGTAGAAGATGTGTGCTATTTGTATAAAAATACGGTAACGCATCATGACTAAGTATGGCTCAATGAAGAGTTGCTTTAACATCAAAAATTAATCAATGTAATTTGCCATAGTAAAATTTATTTTTCTTAAAAAAAAAAAAAAAAGGTGTCTCTACAGAGACAGAAAAAGAAATTGATAAAACCCAACATCAATTCCTAAAAAGAAATTTCAACAAAGAACTGAAGAAAATTTTCTCAATCTGATCAAGGAATCTATGAAAAACCTATAGTACCATCAGACTTAATGGTGAAAAACTGGACATTTTCCATCTAAGTTCAGGAACAAGGTAAGTATGCTCACTTTCACCACTTCTACTCAACATAATAGTGAAAGAATAAAAAAAAATTCTCAACAATGTTAGAAAAGGAATTATTTTGCTGGTATTTTAGAGATGGTCATTATTTCCAAATTTCCCTTTATACATTTTAGTCACCTATATCATATAAGGAGCTCGGGTGGCATAAAGCCCAAGGCATTTGACTGCTAACCAGAAGGCTGGCAGTTCAAATCCACCATCCACTCTGCAGAAAGAAGACTGGACAATCTACTGCCATAGAGATACCACCTCGGAAACCCAAGGAGGAGTCACTATGAGTTAAACTGACTTGAAAATAGTGAGTTTGGTTTGAGTTTTATATCATATATACTGAACCGAACTCACTGCCATCAAGTAGAATCTGACCCATAGCAACCCCTCCTGGGGTTTCCGAGGTGGTATCTCTACAAGGTAGATTGCCCAGTCTTCCTTCTGAGGAGTGGCTGATAGGTTTGAACCTCCAGTCTTCTCATTAGCAGTCAAATGCCTTAGGCACTACGCCACCAGAGTTCCTATATCACTTTTGTTGCTGCTGTTATGTGCCATCGAGTCAGACCCGACTCACAGTAACCTCTCCTTGGGTTTCCGAAGTGGTATCATTATGGAAGTAAATTGCCCAACCTTCCTTCTGAGGAGTGGCTGGTGGGTTTGAACCGCCAGCCTCTGGTTAGCAGTCAAGTGCCTTAGGCACTACGCTACCAGAGCTCCTATATCATATATGTTGTTGTTGTTGTTGTTGTGTGCCATCGAGTCGGCCCCAACTCATAGCGACCCCTCCTTGGGTTTCCGAGGCAGTATCACTACGGAAGTAGGATTGCCCAACCTTCCTTCC